AAAATAAACAGACACACACGTAGCGCATGGAGTTGATCAATTATGGTGAATGAACGCGTACAAGCAAAAAAGACTACCAAACATTGAAGTAGAAGGTCAACTATACTGTAAGTGTATTGATTATATCAAAAACATTTGTGCGCATAGGGTCGGGGTAGTGTAATTGAATAAGCAGAGCTCCACTAATTGCCAAACGTTTAGCATTGTGATTGCGTAATAATGATTCGAAAGATGAATCAGGGTCGACTATATATCCTGTTGTCATGCAATCCTTTGCAACAAATGACCCTGGATTTCTGGTGATCACGTGACCATCAATCACCAGTTGTGTCATTGATTTCACCAACCAACTACGTTCGGCCATCCGTTGTGAGAGCTGACGGATTGTACTGCCTATGTATGCGTCACCGGAACTGCAGGTGAACTGCCGTACAGTGTGTAGGACGGAACGGACTTGACAGCCATAGCGACTTTCATAATTGACGAAAACTTTCTATGAGTTTATTCACTTTATTGATGTATTTTCTTTTCTCTGATATTCTTTATATTTATATTGACAATTTTCTTTCTGTTAAGCCAGACAACTGCGCGCTCGTTGTGCACTACAACTGAATTTTGGCCCAGCCAAAACTCATCACCGGGACCATTTGGAACTCAAATCTTCCGGGTGCCATTCTAATTATGAAAGAGGGTTTCCGCTGTGCCAACCTGCCCAAAGTGCGACTGAATAGAATTACCGATTTCATTTTCATCTCAGACAAAATTTGAAGAGTAATCATTTAAAATTATTGGAAATATGATTGCATATCATGGCTAACAACCGTTATTTAGTAGGTGTGGTTGACTAAATACAACTGGGAAGATCTTTGTTATTTGTAGGGTGCAGCACTCAAATGTACAACCAAACAATAATACACTTGTCTTTGTGTTCATCAAAAATAAATAAAGTTGAACTGAATTGCTCAACCGTAAATGGCAACGGTCGAAGGATATGTGCAGTTTTGAGGTATAAAACAGGTAACCTCACTGTGGTTATCTTCGTGCACATATCAAGGTTGCTGCTGGCATCTGAACTTCTTCATTTTACAAGTTTTTTATATAAACTCCATCTGCATGTAAAACAGGCCGTTTGCATAAACATTAAAATAAATTGTTGGAAATAGGGAGTGAATTAAGCGTGGTCTGCGGAAAATTGACATAAACACTCACAGACTCTACGGTTTCTAATTCGCATGGAAAACAGTGAATTTCTGCGGTTTATATCAGACGCTCTTCCAAACGATTCCCACCTCATCAAATGACTAAAATCAATCTGATTGTGTCAACTTTATCGGTTCTCTTTGCGACATAATTTCTGAGTTCAGCAAACATGTTGCCGGCTATTGCTACGACTCTTGTTCTGAAGTTCGTCAAATTACGTTTTTCAAGTGTTATTTATTGGTTTGAAAATTATTTTTGTTTGATCAACACTTTTCCAACTGATTAGTACAAAGTTGGTTCATCCACAAACAAAGAATGAAGTTCCCCGTTGGAAAGTGGGCATATTCATTGGACCAATTGGAACAGAGAAAATAACCTACTATGATTCATCATATTTGGGCATTAACCCAATATTGTTCATCAATTTATAAAAAGCGTAAAAAATAGATTTTTTTTCTGGCACATGCGTTGCTCACTTGTGTTCTCTGCACTGCTTCATGGTTCGATACCGACGAAAGTGTTTTTGAATGACAGTAGCGGCCATTGCTGTTCCGTCTTTGCCTTTGAAACGTCGACCCTGTTAGGCAAGCGAATTGCATATTTGCCCTTAGTTTGAACTCGCATCTCAAGACATAGGTCATTTGTCAAAATGATCACTGTTATGTTCAAATCTTTCGGGCCGATTATTGTGCACGGGGTTTTAATCATTTCCTTTGATAAACCCTTTTGGTTTTTTGCTCTATTTGTCAAAGTGAAGTATTCCTAAAAATTGACTAGTTATTAGTTTTCTCTCTGTCTATGTAGTCAAATGTGGGTACCTTGATTTCTTTCTGATAGCATATTTATAACAAAGTATCAGGTTTCTCACGAACTTATTATAAAATCCATGTGTTGAACTGATTTCGATCACTTATCATTTATCTTTCATTCAATTCAACTGTCTCCAGGCAAAGTGATTTGTGAACCATAACATTGTTTCCATAATGGAAACATGAGCTGTCCTGGAAAACGCACAGTCAGTAAATTGGATGTCGGAAAGTGGTATCAAATGAGGAAATAAAAACGGACGAAAAATTTCATTTTTAATCAAGGTAAATCAAGTTTCATTTAGCATGTGCTTTGTTGGTAAATTCTTTCCAAGGATTGAATTTCCTTTCACATGTGCGGACATATATGTGGCCTCTTTCCTTAAGAATCATCCACCTCGAAAAAATAAAAACGGAAAGGCAACGATATGAAATTTGTTCCAAAACAAATTTATTTATCGGGTAAAACGATATATTTGCAAACAGTTGGATCACGTCAATTTGCTGAGAATGAAACATGTCTCCTTATTTCATTCTGTTTAAAATTCTCCTCAGTGAGATGTGCTGTACAACTCAAATATTGATACCTCATTACCGGGGTATATTGCTCTCAGCTAAGCGTTTTCGGTAGCTTTGAAGTGTTTCTTGTCGCAACATCCCACCTCATCTCTTGGCGTTTGGGTTATATGGAACTGCCCCCCCCCCTCACACTGTTCCGTAGGAGGATATATATCAAATGTTTCCATAAACACTGCTTCCATTTGCCAATAAAACCGCGCAAATGGAGAGCCCTCAATTCGGAATGCTTTGTTATATCTTCAGGTTGACTTTGTGAGTTGAAAGTTATATTTATACTGCTACCATCAACACTTTTCGGTATAGATTGTCAATAAAATTCGATGTCGAACGTTTTTGAGTAGCATTGGGTTGTTGCAACACAACGGTCTGATTGTAGTTTCTGTATTCTCGCAAACATATGCTTGGTGTTTATTAGCATCCTTTTTCTACAATCTTGAGCAATGAGTGTATCAAAGTTGATAATAAACATGAGATAAACCAAATTAGACGAATAACGATAGGAATATGCTCACAATACACTTGACTAGACTCAAACCAGTGTCCATAAGCATCTTCATGATGCGTGATGTGAATACTAAACGAGAACATTTGACAAAACTCTTATTTTATTTCGCTGGCTAAGGTTTACCAATCATCATAAAAACAAAGTGTGGTTCGACCTACTTTACTGTTATCTCTGGCCTGTAACACCCAGCTCCTGCTCTACTGAAGAAGTGGCATGTTATTGATATTGGCAATTGCAGCGAACAGTAACTTATCATATACTTCTGCACGATCCCCGCAATCCAGGCAGTAATACAGTACTCGAACATAGAATATATGGCGATATCAGATCAAACAACAGGACGTGCTGGCTTTCAATGGAATACAGTTATTGCAGTCTCTTGTAATATGCCTCAAATAAACATCATTTTCGAGAATTTCATGTTGATTGTGCAGATTAATGATGAAGGTTGGACAGCGGTGGAAGAAGTTTATTTCACGACGCTTGCCAGGACAGGAGAAATCTTTCGAAAACACCTGTTTTATTCATCAAAACATTACTGTAAAATGAACTTAGTTGATAAAATTATTCATCATAAATTAGTATTGTTTTTAAACTTTACAACATTTTGCTGTGAATGATAGAATGAATACAGCTTAGAATTACGAAAACCTGCTGCTTAATATTGGAGATATACAACCCAAATTAAGAAAATAAAAACCGCAAAACTAAAGTATTTTTTCGCTTCCCATCTGAGCAATATTTTCCCATGAACGGAACTGCAGTGCGTGAGATTATTTGGTTTGCAACGCATTGCCACAGCGATTTCTCATAATGAAGGGAAATAGTTTGGAAAAAATCCCCGTGGTGCATAGTATTTTTTGTCATTACGGATTCTTAATGGGCTAAGACAATTATTAGTATCCTACTGAAGCAGAGCTCGTTAATAAAATCTTGATATATGTGGAATTTTTCCAGTTTTCTTTCACTTTCCCCTTCAATCTGAGCCACATTTATCTAATGCCGTCTACAATCCTTTCATTAACTGAAATTTGTGAACCAAGTTATTGAACTGAATGAGTTTCAATGGTGTTGCTCTGATCGACAGTTCACCTCGCACAAGTTAAGCGACTATTGAAACCAATGTTATTGTAACTCAAGCAAAACAGTTGGAGCGAGAAGCCAAACGATACCCGTGATTTGTATTCTAGAGTGCTCTTCTGATTCGGCGTACCAAGCACTAGTAAATATTGTTTATTCGAAAATTCCACGGCGCGCAAGGTAGAGTAGATTGGCTGTTGTTGATGTTAGTTGTGGTGTGAATAATTTTTACTGAGATACTCAGCATGTCAAAATCTTTCTATTCAACCGGATTTTACGCGACTCAGGAAGTAAATTACTTGCATATCACCGGTAACTTCGTACTTTTGAAGTTCTCACGTATTGTTTTCTGGAAGCCAGAAGAAAACGTAACCGTCACTCTGACGGTTCGATTACTTTACCCTCCTTTCGAAGTATAACGTTGAACATATTACGTGAATCGATGAATATAGGGAGACGTACTGCAAATCGCAAACGCAGCTGCAGTCCTAGTCACATTGTAAGTGGGTAATTTTATTTAGCTTGAGCTCCTGGTAATCAGTCATTTAAAATTGTCTCTTTTAAAGGAACCATTATTGTTGTGTGCATATATCAGGCATCCGTTCCTCGTTTCAAATGCCTTGCAATAAGCACGAATGGCTTGTCAATCTGTATTGTATTGTCTAACCATAACTTAATGATGGCTTAAGTTGCAGTCAGTGTACGGATGCCAAAAAACACTTTACGATACGCAGTGCAAACCGGTGTTTTAGATTTCTCTGTCACAGTTAATTATGGGCAGCAATATTTCTGACAAGATATTTATTAGCGCGCAAAACTTCAAAACTTACTGGTTCCATCATGAGACGAGCTACTTCCTCAGCATCTTCCACACAGTTCAACAATGTTGCATGGGAGACCCGGTTGATATAGTTGGCGTATTTCACAGCAATATCTGCCAGTCTTTGTGCACAAAATATGCAAACACCAAATTTAACACGGTAGTGAACCATAATCCTGAATTCAAAAGAGGTCTTAAATAGTAAAAACAGAATTTCCGTTCGTGTTACATCACTGTTTAAAAATGCACTCTTTTTCAGAACGATAGCATGTTAATTAGAGGCACAAATGGAGGCATAACTGATGAAAACTAAAACATGTTTTTCTCCCAAAATGTAATTGTATGTGAAAGTTTCATTAACAAAAATGAATATGATACATCCAATCGGTTTCCGCTTGGCCCTTTCGTAGTCAAAATATCAATCAAGGCAATTATATGTCATTACTCCATAGCTTCATGCCGGGATCTTTTCTGTCATCTAACTGTGTTGTGTATGAGGTTCCTCAAACCCTCAGTCGTACCTTGATTTATAATCACCATGAATCAAGCGAATTCACACGTAGCTCCTCATTTGGATTTTTTCCAAAAATGATGTTAAGACAAATTGCTTGAGTGTTATACCTACTATCAACCAAGCGAGGCATACCAATATATCCATGTTCAGCGTTTCGTATCCATGCAGCAGGACCTAATTCAGTTCAACGTGTAACTACAGAGCGTGCCGAGCATTCCTCAAAACTGAAGTTCCTAAAGTGAAACATATTCGCCGTTCTGCATGAGACAATAAGCATCTAAAAGTAGACATTGCAGAATAAGATATCCAAACACCCCTAAAAACTCGATCTACATAAGTCTGGCATTTTGCGGTCCAAACCATTAAGCTTTTTTCAGTTAGTGAAAGTATAAATCTCAACTATGTCCCAGATGACTGCAATCTGACTACCCTGATCAATAATATCTTTGCAAAAGCAGTTTGCGAGGTATTTCATCTTCCCTCCCAGATAGAAGGTCAATGGGATGATGAAAATAACAAATGGAATCGGTTGAATTCTTGTCAAAGAACGAAGTTATTATCAAGTGGTTACCCATTTTTACTATAAATTACTAAACAATTTACCGAATTTAATCATTGCACAACATTTTCATTGTGTGCGTTTCGGTCTTAAAAAAGTTGTTAGTCTTAGCTACAATTTGATATTCTAAAATCTGAACACACTTATTTCCAGGATAAAATATTCTGTGTTCATTTTACAACTCTGTAGATGGGACTATTTTCGTTGACTCTTCACGGGGCAGCATGAAACAAATTCACTAAACTTCCGGTACAGAAGTTGTGAGAACATAATTACCTAACCATTCATATTGAGTCCCAAACCAAGGAGATTATACTTACATGCCACTAATTCTTACTATCTCAAATATTATTTCCTACGACTTAGATGGGTTAGGTTTGAAGGAATACCTAAGAAAAGGCTCGAAAACCATCGGATACTGTTTGAAACCTGACATTACAACCATTCGACTTAGATTGATACCAGAGTGACTGAAACTCGTTTTCGTTGACCGTAAACCCACTGACGTCTTTCAACTACACGAATGCGACGGTTGGAACGGTTACTTTACAAGAACATTCAGTGTATTATCTATTTTATCTTTATTTATTTATCTTTTTCATATCGCAATCATTGAAAGACGTTCGCCTTTTGACTTTTGGCAAGGTAACTCTCGAAATAACCTTTATCATACTATTATCGCTCCCCGTTGGATGTTCAAACCTGATCTTCGTTCTCGGTGTTCGTTACAGTCATGAAACAAAACCCAAGATTTCGTAGCGGTAATTTGAACCTAAAAATGAATTTTCACTAAGATGCACATAATCAGTGAAGCAACATTTGTTTACATGGCTTCGTGCAATCCACGTCAGAAAATTGCTTCCCAATGAATTTTTAAATACTAAATTGACAGATTGACGAAAAACTCTTTTGAAGCATTTCAAAGCCACAAAGACCATATTCCACTTGCCATGTTACCGGTGGCTTCAAAACCGAAAGGATATTAGGTTACTAAACTAGTCCACAGGTCAGTCAAACACTTTTATATCCTTCCACATGCCTGTCAGTTGGTGGCTACTGCTAGCATCAACCCTGATAGCATACTTATCTATTTGACCCAGGAAATTCAGTTAAATACACGTATTGGAAATCAAGGATTGAAACTCTCAAACGTGGACGACAGTTTCCAAGGTTACAGTACGTTTTCAGTAAATGATTGATTCTGGCGTGTTTAACGGTATTCTGCACCGCATTTTATGTTAGGGCGTCACGTATGCGTGAAAGACGACAGTCGATTGCAGAACTTGCAACAATTTCCAATACCTGGGTACAACATAAATCCAGTCAACTTTAGCCTCTTTAGTTAAAAAATACAAAAGATGCAGGATTTTGCACAAACTCAGAAGGCCTTTACTCCTCATGTGATAATAACAGAATGATATCCTTGTTCTTCCTACAGCTTGCCATGATTAAACCGTTCTAGCGAAAACCGTCCTGTTCAAATCGTTCTTAGATCACTCACTTACCTGTACGTTTTGTCTGATGCAATCATCGGATATACATGCATTCAAGCCATTTTAGATCCATCTGGATTTTATTGCTCAAAATAAAGAAGCGCCATTAGACAAATTTTCTAGCATATGTATTTGTATAATTCCTGGCCAAGATGCTTGCTAGCACTTGTTAATTGGAACAACCAAAAACTGGTCAATATACAAGTGGTGAAACAAGATGTATCACTCAGAGAGTTGGTTTTGGTAGATCCTATTTACTGAGTGTCCATAGCAATTACCTGCGAGCAGGCATAGTGAAAACGCAGTGACAATATCAAAAGATAAGGGGATTGGGATGCAGAACAAAACGACATGAAAGTAAACGATCACATTGGATCAGGATAACAAGAATTCTAATTTTTGTTTGTTTGCCTCGCCGTATACTGTTGACAATTTTGTGTGCTAATGTACTGCTTTTATGGGGCGCGGGATTTCAACAAGCAGACCGTACTATATTTGTGCTGCTAACTTTTATACTGAGCCACATTGCCCTCTCAGTCTTTCGGCTCAACGATAATCGTAATCCCTTGATCGGATGCCCAACCTGAAGCCAAAGCTACGCCGTTATGGTCTGACCACCGCGACGTTTCTTCCAACCTTTTGCAGTACGTATTGACATGGCACCGAAATATATACAAACAGCATGCATATACAAAACGTGACCGAAGCATCAAAGGCGATGCAGAGCAATGTTATTTTAGAGAACGATTATCGATACCCAAAGCATGACGAAAACCATAATTATTGCCCACCCAATGTTCTCTTTAGACAGGAGTTATTTTAGGATCCGCAACGTGGAGGGGCCAGGTCTCGCTACCGTAAAACGATGAACCTCAGCAATATACACCCTTCCCTGAAGGAACAGTCGGATGTCCTAGTGGCACCACAGATATCGCAGATTAGCGAAAAACTGTCCTAGCTTTCGACATCCCTGATGTGGTCTCCTCTCTAACACCACTTTTAGCTGTAATCAAGCTCTCAATGTACTTAAAACTCAACTACTTCCAGCTGATAGACAAAATGGGTGAGTGACAGTCCTGAACACTCTCCTAGCACTTGTATGATGCAAAGTGCATACCGCACCTGAATACATCAATCTCCAAGCAATGTAAAACGTGTTGAACTGCCTGTGTATTATAACACATCGAAGGCAATATCATCGGGCTATTCTAAGTCAAGAACTCTGTTTCCTCGTGGGAGTTCGATTCCACCGTTTGATAGACCGTACAAAGCATTCTGTGGAACATTCTCTAAGGCAAAGCTGGACGAGATTGAAGATATGGAGTAATCTGGCCTCACTCCCTTGGAGTAGACGTAGAATGACTAAGGCTAGCCATACGCTCCAGCCCAACCAAGCGTATAAAGATACAACTGTTTGAGGATCGGCACCGTTGTTGGGCACTCAATTCCTCAAAAAGCAGTTCCATAGTGCGGTCCTGTCAATTGAGTTGAAGACCACGTTCATGTCTAGGAACACAATGATCGGTTTATGTGGTAAAAATAGCGGTGCTCTAACAACTATCGGAGATACACGATTTGACCGATGCGAAATTCCTCGCGGGTCTGTTCTTCAAACAAATTATACCATGCATACTGGATTTGGTGGGTGAGAAGCTGATACTGGTGACCAGAATAACTACCTCAAAGTGCTAGGTCCTGTGTGCAAGACAACACCGTTGGTTGTGAACAAGCAATCCATCGGCCTTACAGATTGTTTGGCTCATCCCCGAACCATTTATGTCGGTGACTTGGATGAGATTCAACGGCTTATGGCAGTTTTTCATGCAGTTAGAATGTTCCATCTCTGATGCATGTTGAGACCACCAGATATTTTGGCCTTTGTGTAGGCTTGGGCTAAGTTCACATCTCGTTACCATATCTTTTCAAATTCAAGTGAATCCGTTGTAACTTGAATCCAACTAATCGCATTCCACCAGGGACCCTTCAAATTGATTGGTTCTTCTTCCATCACACTTCGTTCGAAAAGCGTACCCATTCCACTCCCACCCGGCTACGTTATGTCCTTGACCGTTGATCGTGTGAACATTAGACCAGAAGGAACAAACCCCATGATAACTTGCTTCAGTCGACCGAGTAATGAAGCAAATCATGTCAAAATGGATCGATAAATCGACCATCATGCTCACGCATGGATGGAAGAATGACTTATTGAGTGAGTGGGTTCAGTCTGGGACCTCAGTAACCTGATGAGTAAATTTCATTGAGGTCCAGAGGTCCACTCGAATAACACTGATTTCTTTGAGCCTAAATATTTATGATATTGAAAGACACTCTTGACAAGATACTTTACAATGTTGTAAGGATACA